GGAAGTTTCCCCGCTGTAAAAAATAGAAAGATATCCGACACCCAAGGGATGGGCTCATTCTGGAGGAACTGTGCTTCTTGCTGATCGGGAGAAATGGCAGGGTGGGCTAGGTACTCGAGATGGACACCATGACTGAGGTCGGACTGGTCTGCAGAAGCCAACTGAGCCATCTCGTCTTTCTTAGAGTTTTTCGCCCGAGAAATGTGCTGGATGTGGAAAGTATTAAAGAGGCGAACAAGGGGAAGAGCAATATCCCTGTAAGCTCGCATTGTGTCCTTCTTTGCATCGAATTTCCCCGTAATTTGTCTGACAATGAGCTGGGAGTCGCTAAACACTCGGATGTGGTTGACACCAATGTCCCTAGTTAGGCGGAGCCCTGCTATTAATGCCTCATATTTGGCCTCATTGTTACTGGCATCAAACAAGAAACGAAGAGCACATTTGAAATAACAACACTTAGGGGCGGTGAGGATGAGGCCAGCCCGGCTGCCTTCTCTACAGGATGATCCGTCGACGTTGAGAGTCCAAGAATGAGGGTCCTCTGGCTCGGTAGGGGTTGGTGGGGGTGGAGTGGCCGTGGTTGGGGTAGGATTAGTGAACTCCAGGATGAAATCGGCGACAGTTTGCCCCTTAATTGCTGTTCGAGGTCGGTAGGAGATGTCAAACTGGCTGAGTTCCACTGACCATTGCATGAGTCTGCTGGAGAGCTCTGGTTGCCGCATTACCTTCTTCAAAGGTTGGTCGGTGAGGACCACTATGGAATGGGCTTGGAAGTAAGGACAGAGTCGTTTGGAAGCAGTGACCAAGGCCACGGACAATTTTTCTAACAGTGGGTAATTCTGCTCGGCCCCCTTGAGGGCCTGACTGATGTAGCAGACTGGCCGTTGAACACAATCGTCTTCTCTGATAAGAGCTGCACTGACTGCGGTGCTTGAAACGGCTAAGTAGAGGAAGAGGGGTTCGCCAGTGATTGTCTGAGAAAGGAAGGGGGGTTGGCCATGCACTGCTTCAACTGCTGAAAAGCCTCATTGGACTCGGTCGTCCATTCAAAAGTTTGCCGAAGAACTTTGAAGAAGGGGAGGCACTTATCCGTTGGGCGGGAAATGAAGCGGTTGAGGGCTACAACTCGGCCAGTGAGTCTCTGGACTTCCTTAACCGTTCTGGGTGACTGCATTTCAATCAAGGCCTTGATCTTTTCAGGGTTAGCTTCAATGCCCTGCTGACTGACCATGAAACCCAAGAACTTCCCAGATCCTACGCCGAAGGAGCACTTCTCCGGGTTGAGCTTCATTTAGTACTTTCGTAGGGTGGCGAAGGTCTCTCGCAGGTCGGCCAGATGATCAGCAGAGAGTTTGCTCTTGACTAGCATGTCGTCGACATATACTTCCATGTTTCGACCAATCTGATGATGGAAAATGGCATTGACCAACCGTTGGTAGGTGGCCCCTGCATTTTTCAGTCCAAATGGCATCACTTGGTAATGGTAGGTGCGTCGGTCGGTAATGAAGAAGGTGTGTTCCCGATTAGATGAGTGCATCAGAATTTGGTTATACCTAGAGAAGGCATCCATGAAGCTGAGCATTTGGTGACCGGCTGTGGCGACGACCAGCAGATCTATGCGGGGGAGGGGATAACTGTCTTTGGGCCAAGCTCGGTTGAGGTCGGAGTAGTCGACACAGAGTCACCATTGCCATTGTTCTTGCGGACTAGGACCACATTGGACAACCATCTGGGGTATTCCACGTTCTTGATGAATTGGGCCTCAAGGAGCTTGTCAACCTCTGCAGCAATAAGAGTATTGCGCTCAGGATGAAAGATGCGCTGCTTCTGGCGGTAAGGTTGGAAATGGGGTTCAATGTTGAGGCGATGGGTTATGAAGGAGGGGTCAACACCTGGCATGTCTGAATGGGTCCAGGCAAAGACATCATTGTGCTCGGTCAGAAGGGCAGTAAGGTCAGCCTTTGCTTGGGGGGATAGTTGGCTACCGATTTTGGCAGTTTTCGTTGGGTTGGTGGGGTCGATGGGAACCTCCACGAGCTCCTCCATAGGTTCTCCTCTGACCAGCTCGTTCTCATCTCGGACGTCAAGTCCTTCAATGATTATGGCTTCCTTCAGCTTGACTTCTTTGAGTGAGGCGACATAACATTCCCTGGCCACGGTCTACTCTCTCCTCATTGTCTCAACCCCCAGATCGGTGGGGAACTTAATGGCGAGGTGGTAAGTTGACGTGATAGCTTGAAAAGCATTTAGGACGGTGCGGCCAAGGATGATGTTGCAGGCGGATGGGCAGTCGACAACAAGGAAAGTGAGCAACTTTGTAGTTTGCCGTGGGTACTCACTGATTGTGATGGGAAGATCGATGGAGCCGATTGAGGTCACCCGGTCGCCAGTGAAACCGACCAAAGGGGTTTGGAGAGGAGACAAACTTTCCTTCCCGATTTTGAGCTGGCGAAAGCAGTTGAGGAAGATGATGTCTGAAGAACTGTCGTTGTCAATGAGAACTCGCCTGACCTTGTAGTTGGAGAGGAGGGCAGAAATGACGAGAGGGTCATCATGAGGGTAACGGATGCCTGCACAGTCGACGTTCGTGAAAGTGATGGGCTCGGTCCACTGCTTGGGCTGTTTGGGGGGTCGGTCTACCGTGGCAACTGCTTTGTCTGAGCCTTGCCTTATCTTTCTGAGTTCTGCCCTCTAAGCCGAGCGGGATGGTCCCCCACAAGTAAGGCCACCTAAAATAACTCTGATTTCACCAACAGGTGGGGGGGGGATTACCTAGTGGCCGAAGCTGTTGTGGAAGGCGATCATGGCCTTGGTTAGGTTGGGCTGGCTGCCGGGGAGGGGTGCACCGGCAGTTGTTTCTGAGGGGCTCAGTTCTTTGCCTCTGCTGAGGGCGGGTGTCCGTGAACCGACTAAGGCGTCCCTGACGTATTAGGGTCTCGACCTGGTCTTTGAGGTTAACACATTCATCGGTGTTATGGCCATGATCCTGGTGAAAGCGACAATATTTGGACTGGTCTTTCCGATTGGAAGGGGTTCGTGAAGGTTGGGGTCCCGTTGGATTTGATTGAGGACTTGTTCCATGGGGGAATTAAGGGGTGTGTACTGCTCGAACCGACCGGGCGGTCGGGCTGGTGCAGACCGGTCAGCTCTGGGGGGTCGGTCGGTATAGTGTGGTGTTTGGCTATTGTACTGGGTGTTTCTGGGTTCTGAGTCTTTTCTCTTTTCTCTGGAGATTGGGTTTTTGGTTATTGGATCTTGTCGGGCGGCTAGGGAATCCTCAGTATTCATGTATTTTTGGGCTTTGGAGAGTGTAGGGTTGCCATGGAGGTCGGGGGGTTTTTGGAGAGGGAGAACAGGACGTCGGATGATCGCAGACCGGCCATAAAAGCAGTGAGGATGGCCTTGTCATCATTTTTCGCTACTTGCAGGGCCTCGGTGTTGAAACGGGTAACGAAACTGCGTAGCGACTCCGCCTCAGTCTGTCGAATATTGAGGAGTTGGGTTGCTGGGTGTCGCTGGCGCTGGGCTCCAATAAAATGGCTGAGGAAGGAGTCACTGAGATGCTGGAAAGTGGAGACGGAGTCTGTTGGTAACTGGCTAAACCACAGCCGAGCTGACCCCTTCAGTGTCACGGGGAAAGCTCGACACATGATCTCGTCAGGGAATGCATGGAGGATCATGAGGGTTCTGTAGGTCTCCAGATGGTCGACTGGGTCCGTTGTACCGTCAAAAGAGTCGATGGTGAGCATCTTGAACTTGGGGGGTACAGGTTTGTCCCGGATGAAGGCGACAAATGGTGAGTTTCCTGTGGTAGAGGGTTTATGTTGGATGTTCTGCATGACCCCTTAGAGTTGGAGCTTCATGGCTCGGAGTTCCGCATCCCAGAGAGGGATGTGGTCACCTCCGGAGGGCAACGGGGGTTGGACGCTGCTGGCCTCTCCTTCAAGGATTGGTGCCGGGATCGATGGTTGTGGGCCTTGGGGTGGCAGGTTTATACCTGGGGGAGGGGGTTGCAAGCCTACTTTATTGGGTGGATTAGGCTGTCGGATAATATGGCTCAAGGCTTGTTCGTAGTTGGGAGGACTATCAGGAGGTGGTGGAGGGGGCATAGGAAGGTTTCTTTGGAGTAGGGCATTAATTAGGGCTTGGTTTTGCTCAACCATGCGGTTAATTCTATTGGTAAGCTCGATGAAATATTGTGGTGGGTTGTTTGGATTGGGGGGGTCGGCTTGGTGGTCGGCAGCATTTTGGTGAGAAGCCATGGATCTAGTCGTGACCATACACTTCGATGGGTAGCGAGAAAGGGTTATTGGAACAGGGTCTCCGGCGACAGTGAACACAACTGGCGCGAGGAGCAAAGCTTTCCCATAGACGGCGCCAACTGATGATACAGTTACGATATAACGAGTTCCAGAGGGAATGGGTCGGACTGGTCCACGCTTCCCCAACCGATATCTGAATGGCCAAGCCCACCTGAGAACCTGCATAGGAGTTCAACGGGGAACGGGGAGTCCCCCAGTGAACCCTCCGACGAGCAAGTTAGAGAGAGAGGAGTAGAATGTAGAGATAGGATTGGGAGATAGAAAACTTAACATTTTTCTTGTCTTCAACGTCTGGTTATATCCTTTGGTAATCATTTCGCCGTCTCTTCCGACCTGCCACCTTGGTCGAAAGTTTATGCTGTAGCTTACCTTGTTCAGGGTGAGGGGGTGCTGTTCCGACGGAGAGCTGTTGTCGTAACAAATGTTGTGATGGGCTGCATTAATGGCGATGTGCAGTGGCAATAACTTTGCAGATCTTTGTCTGCTGATGTGGCTTGTCCTTTACCTGCCACATGTCTGAATATCATTGGTTATTCTTGCCATGTTGGTTTCTAACTGTTCAGGATCTCATCAGTTGGGTTATGTGTTGGGCTCTAAGTGATGGACTTGGGTTGTTTATTTGACTATGACCTTTGTGGATCTAACCACCACGTCAGTTACAATCCATTTTTTTGACAGGTTTATTATTGATGGTGATTGGCTTCAACAATCAAGAAAGGCAGGGGCTGCTTGGATTGCTTTTGACAAAGATGGGCATCAATCAATATCCAAGAAATACTCATTTTTGGCTTCCTCAACTCTGATGACTGAAGCTCCTGCATGTTTTGAATTCCTGATTTGGTGCAACGCTAACAATGTCAAAACGTTGAAATATTTACAGATTACTTGCTGCTTGTCCAAACGATCAGCGGAATGGGATTTGGCTTATTTTATTTTGGATATATGCGAACTGTGTAAGAATATGGATTATGTATGTATAACCAAAGTACCTAGACAATATGTTTTGCATGCCCACCTAGCGGCAAAAGAGGCCTGCGATCATGCAGACTCTTAGCCACATCTTGTACTATTTTCTCTATATTTAATATATATATATATATATATCTTTTCTCAAATTTTTTTTTAAATAATAATAATAATAATAATAATAATAATAATTTATAACCAATTTTTTTTTTCTAGCAACTGGAATAATAAATGCATATAAACTCATAGTTCAAGATATAATTGCGTACCTTAGACCCATGGGGGTGCCTCTCTTTTATAGTTTACTCAATCCTAGTCCCACTAGAAGCCTGACTTCTATGGACTCCAATTCAATACTGACTTTGGATTCTTCAAGAGATAAAGATAAACTCCCTAAGAGTTTTATCCTTATCTTGGCTAAGTCTCCTCGTTGTCCTAGGACTTTTGTCCCTTATCTGCTTATCTCGGATTTCGATATCTTCGGAGATAACCTCGGTAACTCCGAGATCACCTCGGCGTAACTACCACGACACGTGGCACTTCGGCTGACACATCGGCGTCGCCATGCCACGTGTTGGTATCCAAAAAATATATCCCCACAGTAAGTACATCTGGGTACGCCAAAAATTAAGAAGAAAAAATTTACATACGTATTTTGTGTACCCGATATATATACAGAAGTACCATACGAGATACCATACGCTGATAAATAACTAATACAGATACAACATATTTTTCAAAGTATCCATACTTTATAGATTGTCAGTCTCTTGTCTTCTCAAAAGAATGAAACAATCTTCTGAAAAACTAATTTAATTTGAAACGAATGCCATTAATATGCAATTGTCGGAGTTTTGATGACTTAATTTAAATTTCATGTGTTATTTGTTTTCTCCACATCGCAAAGAAATTGCATATATGAACAGCTCTCAAATAAAAAAGGAACTCTAAACAAAAGGTAAATGGAAAATGTTAGTGATAATTACAAATAAAATATCAAAAAATTCAAATTATAATAATTATTATAAGGGCTTAGGCGCGGGAAATTCATTCTCTTTAAGGAGATTCAAGTCCTCTGCGATTAGGCAAAGTTTCACATCGGTACAGTAGAAAAAATCTAGACTTGTCCCCCCAAGATACAATAACCCGACTAAGTCGTATGGTTCACCAATACTGCACAATTGGTTAAATCCAAAGTTTTATCACATACACCTTTTATTTCTTTGCTTGATAATCTCACACAAACATAATAAAACAACAAAAATTTCTTCTTATCTTTCAAGATAAGTGGTTAGCTCAATTTATAGGAGATGAAAGCTTGGTGGACTAGTTCTTTGGAGGATTCTTGGAAGTTGCTTGGAGGACAAGTATAGATGAGGAAGCTTGGTGAGAAAGTTTCTTAGAGGAGACTTGGAAGCAATTAAAAAGACTTAACTTGGTGGGCAAGACTTGGAAGACTTGAAGAGAAAGAAAAGAAAATCAAACCTATAACACATTATAATATTAAAATATCTGCTAACATTCCCCCACCTATTTTAATATTATAGGTAGCAAAATCTGAGATTATTACGCAAAGAATGATATTATGCATCATGGTAGGTGTACTCTGCATTGAACCTCCATTAGTGAAATAATAATATCTACTCCAGAGCCAATAGTATGCTCAACATTGAACTATGGCTGCTTAAGGAAAATAAATAATTATTGCACAAACATAATATTCCATGTGTTCACATAAGCTTTAAGAGCCAGCATGTTACGGCCTTGTGCGATCCCAAGATTCATGAGTGTGTTTGAGAACTAGCCCAAATCTCATAGGTAGCGGCCTGTAGACGTCCCCGAACGTCCCGGGAGGAAATCCCCCTGTTTTGTTCATATGGGCTCACTACAGTTCGGACTCAAACGTCACGGGGTAGAGAATAAAACACTGGTTGTCTGTCGACCAGATCCTCAGATCAATTAAGTCGGCGACCTCTAGTCCAGAGTGCTTGGGGAATATCTACTAGGTCGGAAGCAATTGTGCTAAACTACCTAGCAAAAAGATAAGTAAAGCAATAATAAGGAAATAAATAACCAGACAAACGGACAGCATAACAGCGTAAAATAAACACACAACACACAGTTGGGCATCACAACACACGGTTGATAAGCTGAATACACTGTTCCTCAATACTGATTATTGTCCCCGAATCATTATTCCCGAAAACTGAATCTGATACCCGTAGATAACTGATTCCCAAAATACTGAACTGGTACCCGCAGGCCTGATACCCAAACTTGTGAGCTGATACATGCATTCCTGTAGAGGCCAACTCTAAAGCACATAACAAACAAGTGAGAGCCAAAACACCCCTATGTTGGGGTAGGGTTTCCCTATCCTACTTTGTCAGGAGCTAGGGTTTCACTACGCATGCAGCGGTTTCAAATAACCTATAATCGGGTAAGCAGCCTGTCCTAGCTTGGAATGGTCACTATGGATTCCGAATATGCACTAGGTCGAATGGTCAAGAAGGGTGCCCCGGTGACAACCGGGGTTTGTGTTCCCATCGTGGCAGAGCCCATAGCCGGTCAGCCTTATGGCACGTTTCTCGAAGCGAGCCTCTGGTAAACCATTCAGGAATAGCAGATGGCAAACACTGTGACTTAGGCGCACCAATGCAAATGCAATGCAAAGAAACACATAAGTGTAGTCAAAACAAGATATCATAAGTTCGAGTCAAGTTCTCTAACTCCCCAGCAGAGTTGCCAGAAACTGTAGACGTCCCCGAACGTCCCGGGAGGGAAATCCCGTTTTGTTCATGTTGAGGCTCACCACAGTTCGGACTCTCAAATTGTCACGGTTCTAAATCTGAACCAAAGAGTCCAAATCCGACAAATCGTTTTGAGAAAACAGATTTTTAGAAAGAAGTGCCAAACATGGACTGTTTTGCCAGATACAGAGTCGCCGCCTAAATGTTTTATTTTTGGGAAATTTAGGAAACCTTGACTCGTTGCCTAAGGCCACATGTCCGTCATCACCAAAGTTGCCTCGGCTCAGGAACTTGGGTACGAGAGGG